CCGTCCTCCTTTCAAGTTCTCCGCAAGGTCGAGGACAGCTAACCCTGAAGAAGAGGACTGGTTTTGCAGAGCCGAACTTCTACTTACATTGGTTCAGTCGACCGCGTTCGTCAATAGGTATGTGTACCATCCATTGCCGCAGGGAGCGAAAACTGACACCTTTCTCTGACCGTATTACAGAGTCTTGCATTGAAACTGCGAAATTCCGCCGGCGAAATTTTGGCACGTGATACCTTCTCGTGACCGCCTAAGCACGTTGCATGTCGCGCAACTCGCGCTGAGCTTTGCCTTGTACAACCACCAAGCAACCGCCAACTACTTGCTACATAGCATTGATAATGTATGTAACTCAGATAACTGTCTTCTCCTACCTAATGTGAGGGTCAGTAATGGCACGGTACTACGATGCAAGAAGGCCCCAGCTCTCTCATGAGCAACGATGGAACATTGTGCGCTGGCGATACGAAGACAGGAAATCCGTGGCCGATATTGCGCAGCTAGTACGCCGCCATCCGGCCACGGTCTACCGTATACTCTCAATGTTTGGCATGCACGGGAATGTGTATAACCCGGACGCTCAGGCGCGACGTCGACGCCGGATCCTGGATATGACTGCGGTATCTTTTATTTCGTCTGAAATACGTGCCAACCCTGCCATATATCTGGATGAAATTCAGCACCTTCTCCTTGAACGTCTCGAAATCAGTGTCTCGATCGCAACATTATCCCGTACGGTCCACCGTCTTGGACACACACACAAGCTCATCTCTCCCATTGCCCTCCAACGGAATGAGCTCCTCTGCTCAACATGGATAGCAGAGTATGGCGACATTCCCATGGAATACTTTGTCTGGCTCGATGAATCGAGTGTCGACAATCTTACACATCAGCGCACTCACGGTTGGGCCCCAGTTGGTCTCTCCTGTGTTCGTCGGACCACCACAATCCGTGGCGAACGATTTTCGATCCTTCCAGCTCTCACCACCGAGGGAATCATTGCTCTCGACATCTTTACTGGCTCGGTCACAAAGGAGATTTTCATTCATTTCCTTGGAGACTTGGTATGCATGTATCTCAATTGGCTGACAGCAGAGCGGCACTGACACACCTCAGATTCCGCATCTCACCCCGTATCCTGGTCCACGGAGTGTTGTTGTCCTTGACAACTGTGCCATTCATCACGATGCTGACATTCGTCGAATCATTGTTGACGAGTGCGGCGCTCGACTGGTTTACCTTCCTCCGTACTCGCCGCACCTCAATCCCATCGAACAGGCTTTCTCGGCAATCAAGGCATATTTGCGGCGCCATGAAGCAGACGTGTTGGACGAGGCAGCGCGGCCATGGATCATTCACCAAGCAGCAGAGCATGTATCTCCTGAGGACGCGGAGGGCTGGATTCTAAATTGTGGTTACACTTAGTCGCATTTGTCTCCATACCAGTGGTTTCACTTAGTTGCATCGTCCCCATACCAGTAAATTCAAGCATCCAAGTCTCTTGTTGAATTATTTCGGATTCCCCTTGTGACTAGAGAAATCCTATAAGTAGAGTAGGCTGAGTGCGATATATGAGCTTGCTGAAATCTTCCTTCCCATCTTTTGAACCATACACAATGATCCATTCCCATCTCGAGGACGTGCCACCCAAGCCTTCGGATGTCTGGCTTGAGAATCCTGGCTGGATTGGTATGTTGACTTTGATTTAAGCCTTGATTATTTCTGACATATAATTAAGATGGTGCACTGCCTACTCCAGTTGCATACATTGACAAGCATGCAATGGTTCGAGCACTGCGCCACTGGGATCCAACTTCGCATCACATTGATCAGCTCGAGGCCGATCTTTTGCGCGAGTCCGATTTTCATGATCGACTTGCCGCCATCAATTCTTCAGGACCACCACCATTCCACACGCCGCATGTCCCTCATCCATCATCACAAGCTACGGTTCTTCATGGTGTGTTTCAAACATACCAAATTGACTCTATCTCATTCACAATGTTGTAGCTGCTATCGAGCCGGAGTTCCCCACGACAATTTCCCTTCTCCAGTACATTCCCCAGCCCGCAAAGGTCAGCAAGAACGGACGTGTCACGCAGCCCGATGCAGCAAAGAAGGGCATCGGCAAAGATCTCCAGCTGGTGTTCGGGGACCTGTCTCGGACCGAGGTCTTACGGCGCGCATTTGACGCACATCAAGTTGGCTTGCAGTACGAGCCTGGCCCTCAGCGTGGCCCGCCGATGAAGATGTGGTGGACTGGCCGGTGCGTTCCTTACACAGCCATAAGACAGATCCTCATTTCTTTGTTTGCAGCCAGAAAGGAGGTGCGACAACCATCGAGACCGATTTGGAATATTCGAACGCCATTGCATCCCTCAAATCTCGCAAGGGAAAGACCCAGGTCACGATTGAGCTCGACGTGGACGAGCTGTATCCATTTCGACGAGCAATCTTGGTGTGTACCATCTTGATATTCACCGTCTTCTACTGACAGCTTTTTTCTGGATGCTAGGATGCACCGCTGCCCTCAAATGTAGTGAAGTCAACACCTATTCCTGGTGCTGCCCCAAGCAATGGACTCCTTCTTGGGACTCATGTACGTGTATTCCATTCCCTAGATATCAACATCTCATCCTACTCCAAGGTTCCCATCATGGACTCATTTTCGCCCGAAACACAAGTGAACGGCACCTGGATCCTTCAGCTTCGCACGAAATGGCTTTGCCAAGATCCCACTCACGCTGGAGAGAATGGCGCTCCGGGGCACTGCTGGCGAGATGCAAATGGCTGTCACATTGGCGTGAGCAATAACGGGTTCAAAGTATGGGGTGCTGCCTGTGTGAGTCTGCCAGTCCCAGGGTATAACCTCTGCCTTATCATTCACAGGCCGCTCGTGTCGAAGGTGTCTCGCTGGAATGTCCACCCAACTCGCCTGAGTTTGACTTCCGGCGTGATGGCAGTCGGCGCGATACAAATTCCGGCCCACGTCCTCGCGGTCAAACAGGCCCACGGTCTGCAAAGCGCGAGGCAACCAATGATGCCAGTGACCCCTTGGTATCGTTTGGCAAGCTTATCGGTGGGTTGATTTCGGCCCGTGTTGCGCCTGCAACGCCCAAGCATCGGAACACCGACGACTCGCCGGTGTCAACACCTCGCAAACGCCGTCGTCGTGATTCAACTCCCGAGCCGCCCTCATCTCCTATTGCGCCACCTCCTTCTGAAGAAATTCAGAGGTGTGTTGACGCATTTCTTCGCAAGAAGCGCATTGACTGGACCCCGTACATCGACATACTGATGGAACATTCATTTACGCCAGACATAATGGGCATGGTTGGGATGGTGCGTCTTCAAGAACTGCTGCCTGCGGCGCCAGAGGGCGAAGTCATGCGTTGGATGAAGCATTGTGATGAGTACACCGCCAGGCAGAGGTCACCGAAGAAGCGTCGTACTAACTGATCCATTTTGAATTTGGCCTGTTTAATAACTTCCAATAGAACTATATCGCACTAATTAGTAATTCAACTATTCCATATACTTCTCTAATCCATTGCTTCGCTATCGACTGGCTATCAATTACCATTGAAACTGCTTGCTCAGCGCGAGTTGCGCGACACGCAATGTGCTTAGGCGGTCACGAGAAGGTATCACGTGCCAAAATTTCGCCGGCGGAATTTCGCAGTTTCAATGCAAGACTCTGTAGTCTTCCTGAGCGATTGCGCAAACTGCACCCAGAACCGTGACGCAACGATTGAGGGCGTTGTGCAACTTAACAAGAGCATGGTAGCTCGA